TGTTGGGACTCCAAAATTTTATTAATTTATAAAGTTATTAATTAATCGATAAATTAATAATTATTAATTTATCGATTAATTATTGATTTATAGAGATATTTTTAGTTTGAATTTTTAATATTCATAAAAAAAAATCAATATTTTCAACAATGTAAAATTTATTAAAAATATCATAATAATAAATTTAGAAGATAAATCAAACAACTTTATAAAACTGAAACAACAATATTATCATAATTTACTATATTATATTATTATTATATGCCTAAATGTATAATTATTAATTTATATTATTATTGGGACTATGTTTTTACATAGAACTTACAAAAAAGTATGATTTTATTATCTTATCGAATTTTATCAATTTTTACATTAGCCCGACTTGGGACCGGCAAAAATTATTAATTTATAGAGGTTTTACTGTATATAATAAATAAACAAATAAGTTCGCTAGGGTTTTATGTGTCACCGCTGCTTAAAAACTTTGCATAAATAAGTTTTTTTTTTGTGTGGAAGCCCCTTATCTCAATGGTTTAATAAGGATTTATTAATGCTTCTACACCAAGAAGTCTGAGTTTCGTAGTGCAAGCAGAATCATCAGGCGTAAAGCGTGGTGCAGGTAGAGCAAAAAAAAATAAGTTTTTTTTTTCAAATAAATAAGTTAGATAGGGCTTTACGTGTCACCGCCTAAAAGCTTTTTCCCCTTCGTAGTTTCTGTATATCTATTTTATTTTTCATTGCTTCATAATTAGAACAGTGCTGTTAAAAAATTTTGAGATACTGTAAATTTTAGGGATAATACAGAAAAGCAAAACTGTTGCAGATTCGAAGATCATTTTTTGGCAATTTCATGTCTCCTTGACTTTGAGAACTTCTTCTTATATCTATGTTTTGTATAATCATATTCCTACAAACAGCTTCTCAATTGCCATTAGTTCTCATGAAACTTTAAATCTATACTATTATTTGAGAAGTAGATTTCCGACGTGTCAATCTCACGTTCGTTCTCAGCATATTTTAGGCATCGATTTTTCCAATTATATCCTTAATGAAAACCGTGATCTAATTATCGATTTAGTGTTATATATGGTTTATTAAATTGATTAATTGGTTAGTTTGGATAAAGATTGTCCGATTTCAATATAATCACTTTTTAATAATAATTTTGATGATAAGATCAAATCTACGTTTATGGGAAGAAAATCAAATCTATGTTTATGGAAAGAAATTTTAATAAATATATTTAGATTTGTTTGTTGTTATTCGTTTTTGGATTATAATAAACTTAAAAAAAGGAAAATTCCTTATTATTTAGTTATTATCTAATAACATATATTCTGATTTGAATTTATACAAAATCATAATTTCCATAAATGATAAATTCATATCTATGTTTATCGACTTAAAAAAAAATTAATATATTAAAATTCTGTGTAAACCCTAAAATATTTTCCTATAAATACTGCAATTCTTTCTAACTACTTTTTATTTTCAGTTCTAGGTTTAATTTGTTCATGTAGATTTTTATCTAGGTTAAATTTAGTTCATGCATATCATAGTTGTTTGTTTTCGTTGTATTTGATGTATGACGCTAATTTACTGTTTTTTTTCTTTTTCTTTTTTGAAGGTATGTGGAGATAGATAATCAAACAAACTCTGCCATATGAGAGAGGATAAAGGTATGTTTCTTCTGATCGTTGTGTTTCTCACGAGTTACTCTTCTCCTCTTCAGTTTCAATCGTACTGATCTTTTCGGCTCATTTTCCACAATTCTTTTCGGAAAGTCCTTTACTTTATTTACTAGGGATTGAACCGCGCTACGCGCGGTTTGTATTCAATATTTTCATTTATAGTATTAAATCTAATAACCCAAATTATTTATTGATAATTATTTAATTTTTTAACTTGTGTTTTCACATAACTTTATTTTACAATTCTAGGTCTTAAGTTTGTTATTCATATTGTTTCAATAATATTTCTAAGTGACTTTTCGGTGATATGCACTTAGATAATTTTAACAAATATTTTTTTGATAAGATCAGTTTACTTAGATCTAAATTAATCTGTTCTTTTAATTTTGTTTTATTCTCCAATTTTCCAAAATCTAGTTTAATCAGGTTTAGAATAATAATGAATCCATAAAAGGTCATTTGTTTTTTTTTATTTGGATTTACCAAATTAGAATTATTTATTGGTATAATGTTTCAATTTGATATCGAAAATTTTAGATAAATGATTTAGAATACGTTTTTTTTTCCATTCCGATAAACTATTTTTTATATGTTTCTGTTTTGTTAGTTTTATAAACATTGACATATCGTAATTCACTTTGGTAATTGTTTCTTTTATTAATTAGGATTTGATAAAGTGATTTAATTGGACTATGTTTAGAAAATACCGACAAATTACATCAAAAATATTATCAATTCAAACTATTGAATATAGACAATCTAAACATCATACAATAACAACTTATATTGACACACTTAAGCATAGAGCAACGCAAAATAGAGTCACCATACCATAATCTTGAAAACGGTTCCATACCATACTCGATAATAACAAAAGGTTCATGTCAACAGCTCGTTGATGTGCATCTATGGCAGCACAAATGTTCTTCATCTCGACATATTCATGGTACACCAGAGTCCACGCAGATAAGTACTTCTGGTTCAGTTCGAAAGCTCTCCATAAGAACATGACTGCATTTTTTTTGCTGCCATTTAAACTGTAATAGTTTCCAATGACGCAGCAAGACTCATGTCTATAATTATCAGTTAAAATACTTGTTTGCAAGGTAACTCTATGACTGCTCTGGACTTCAACATTTAGAGCTTGGAAGTAATTAAAAAAAATGAAAATACCTTGCAAATAGTCGTAGTCACCAAGGACTCACTGTGCATTTTGATTTCTTGGCAAGAAAAATCTCATTCATCTAGTGGTTTCTTAGAATGATAGCTACTCATAATAGGAAATTAGGAATCAGTGTACATACATATGCAAAGACTGCAGCTATAAGTAAGCACACTCCAATTACACGTATAGCTATTGACAAACACAGAATATTGGCATAAGCAAGACTATTTTCTTTTACTGCATATATACAGAATGAAGACTCTAAAATAGTTGGAGAATCATGAGATGAAAAGCACAGACGTACAATTGCATGCAATCACCTTGTTTAAGAACGCTGATTCTGAATTTTACTCCGCCTCTACACAAAAGGAGATTCCAGATTCTGAGATGCTTAGTATGGCACATGGATAATCAAGAAATAAAAAGCAGCAACTTAAAGGGAACATAAATGTGAGCAACAAAAGAGGAAATTTGATCCTTTGACTACAAACAAATCTTGGACATGATGATAAGAGAGTAACTGTGATCTTTAGGCTTTTGCAAGAAAGTTAAAAATATAGCAAGTTGATTATATGAACAAACTGTTTTTAGATATAGGTTTTCAGATGTAAAAGCTGGTTTATCTTGTAAGCTAAGGTTATAACCTGGATGGCTGTTTTGTAGATAACATAATTTTTTGATTACCTATATAGATTTTTGGCATATTCAGCATAGGAGAGAGGCGTGGCTGCTCGTTTCTGCTAACCTCTAACTAACATATGAAAAAGAAAACAAAGCAAAAAGTGAGCAAATAATCTAGAAAACTCTCTCAGTTAACAAAATCATACTTATCAAGCATGTTATAAAATACACTAAATCATGGATTTTAGTGCCCAAAATAGCCTCTTTTAATCCATATAATTGATGAACTACAGAAGTCAATGATAAAGCAAGATGGTTATGTACTACATGGACGTAAGACAAATAGTTGGCAAAAATCGAAAAATAAAAAAAGTAAATCACCAGTTTATTAATTACTATCTGAAATCTGATATACTCAAAGCCATATATACCTGTAGCTAACCTATGTGATGGTTGATGTAGATGCACCAACATATTTTTCTCTTCACAATCTAGCTTCTTTTCAATAATCCTCTTACTCACTTGTCATGTAAGATATCCATCAGCCATGCAGCTAAGACGTTGTGCCATAATCCTCTTTTCCAATCCGCTTTATCCCAGCAGCTCACTTGCATTCTCTTATCTACTCAGTTAGCGCTGATTCGGAAGAGTATTATTCTCAGTTTTGAGAGTTCCCTCATGTTCCATGTAAAAGAATCACCATATATTCAGAGATTAGGTTAGCGACTGATTATATCTAATTTTTTTTGTGTTATCTTACCACTACATGAGGACGATGGTCCTGCTACTCTGCCATCTTATTCTCCTTGCTTCTACATTCTTTCTCGTTCCCGATCAGCTTCTTCTCCTCCCTTGGCCGGTTGTCTTGTAGAAATCTTTGAGAAGTTTTTTTTTTGGCTCCAAGTAAACCTTGTTCTTTACCAGATCTATTTCGTGAAGACTAACCTGTGGCTGGTTTATCCATTGAACTCTCTCGAGAGAAGTAATCAGAAATTAGAGAGTTAGAATCGAGAAGAAAGTGATGATTGGAAGATGAATTGTTTTGAGGGATAAATAGATGATACCAAAGAGTTTAAGGAAGATGGATCATCGTTACAATGAAAGTGGAGAGAATTAGGAACGCCTGAGAAGAGAAATTGTGAAAAAGAAGGAATGAGATCAAATAAGCTTTTGGTACTTATGTCATGTAGCGTTTCCTTTAAAAAAATATATATAACAAAAGGCTGTATAGGTTTAGCCCAAAACTAATTTTAAACTATTTTTCATAAATGTTTAAGTTACTGATGTGGCACGATTATATATAGAGTTTTTTTTGACTGAGCTGGATAGGCTAAAGAGCCCCGAATAACTCTTTTTATTTAGTATAAATTTACATAATTCTCTCAGCTTTCTCTAGCGACAGAAAAATTCTCAGTTATTGATAATCAATCGCACAGAAAAGAATTGTTTGAGATTCTTCCGAGAGAGAGAAACGTCTGTGTAATCTCTAAATCGTAAGATCTCTCTCTTTTCTCTTCGAAGATATGGGTGGTGCGGTGAAAGATATCGCTTCAAAGTCAGAGCTTGATAATTTGCGCCAGAGCGGCGCACCCGTCATGCTTCACTTCTGGGCTTCTTGGTGTGATGCTTCCAAGCAGATGGATCAAGTTTTCTCTCATCTCGCTACCAATTTCCCTTGAGCTCACTTTTTTAGGGTTCGTCGCTTGCTATTTTCTGAAACCCAATGACAAATCGATTTCACCTCTTTCCTATGTAATTAGCTTTCTTTGATGTTTATGGCTTCTCTTCTCAGGTAGAAGCTTTGAGTCCCAAATAAACTTTCAGGAACTTTCTCTCGAGTCAACAATTTATTGGTATAAACTTTCAGGAACTTGGTCTCAAGCTACCCATCAGTAACCGATAACTCGTGAGTCTCTTTTTTTCCCTCATTTCGGTTTCATAAAACCCTAAAAACCCGATGAAAACAATGTCTACTTGTGTAGTGTTCAATGGTGCTTGAGAAAGGATCTTCCATGTCCCGGAGACGCAGAACGTGAGTGTATAGTTCAATACTTCAAGGAGTATACTCATCTCTACACGTTGAAGATTCAATATTTACGCACATATATACCTTAAAAATTTCAAACTTCTCTTGCAGATTCTTCTCTGTTCATCAACTGTGGAGGAAGTATAGCCAAGATCGAAAAAGACACGTATGTGGAAGACTTGAACGGGAGAGGATCATCAACATTCTCCTGTCTCTGAAACATGGGGATACAGTAGTTCTGGAATTTGGGTAGGCAATTTTGATGCTAACTATTTAGCAACAGACATATTCAATCTGATCAATGAATCATTTCCAGATTATTACAAAACAGCAAGTCTCTCTCCACAATCACTCAAGTACTATGGACTATGCATGAGAAGGGGAAGCTACAAAGTGCAGCTCCATTTTGCAGAGATTATGTTCCCAAATGACCAGACTTATAATAGCTTAGGGCTTCGAGTTTTCGATATATATGTCCAAGTGAGTCTCTTTCAGAAAACTTTTATAAACAGATTGAGAAACAAAGTTTCAGTACTTTTGATGTTTTTATTTGCAGGGGAATTTGTTGGAGAGTGACTTTAACATAGCAGAGTGAGCAGGTGGAGTTGGTAAACCGTTCACAAGGCAAATTGATGCACTTCAAGTGAATGGAAGTACGGTGGAGATTCATTTGCAGTGGTCAGGTAAAGGCACAAACATGTTACCGATAAGAGGTGTGTATGGTCCTCTCATATCCGCCATAACCATTACACAGAGTGAGTTTTTTTCAGTCTCTTAATCAGTTGTTTAAGAACCAGTTTTTGGAGTGAGTGAGTGAATATTTCTTTCTATGTTTTATTGCATGTTTGTTGTAGATTTCAAGGTTGATACCGGAAAGCCATTGTCCAATGGAGCTGTTGCAGGCATTGTAGTTGCAGCTTCTGTGCTTTTCGCTTTGCTTGTTGTTGAAATCCTAAGGCTTACAGGTTACTTAGGTGGAAAGGAAGAGGATGAAAATGGTAAAAAGATTGTTCAACGTTCATTCTATTGTTCAAGAAACTGTCTTAGTCATTTTTTAAGATCTGATTGTTTGTGTCAAATCTCTCTTTTTGGTTTTATCAGAAGAGCTTCAGGGACTTGATTTACAGACGGGATCGTTTACATTGAAATAAATCAAACGTACCACTAGCAACTTTGATCCAGAAAACAAGATTGGTGAAGGAGGATTTGGACCGGTGTATAAGGTGATGACTGCTTTCGTGTTTTACAAGTTATGTGAGCTTGGTCTCTTACATTGATCTCTTTGTTTTTTGTTGTTCTTTTGTGTTCTCATACTCACTTTGTTCTTTTGTGTTCTCTATGAACATATAGAGGGTTTTATGTTCTTTTGTTGTTTTTGTATTGCCGTCCAATTCAAATCTAACTTTTTTTTATTCGTTTTTCTTTAACAATTAGGAATCCTACCATGTCCGCAAGCTTCATTTTTTTCGTGGATACAATATCCCAAATCCATTTCTCGTCAGATGAGGTTTATTCAATCCTTTGGTCTCGAAAATCTTCTTTGACTTGCAATTGATGCGAACTGGTGTGAATTGTTTTGTTTTTTCTTAGGAGTTTCACACAGTCGTCTAGATCAAAGCTACCTACGCCGGTGCTACTGATCCCTATTGTTTTTTTTTTTGCCTTTTGATTCTCATACTCACTGGTTGATATGATTGGGTCTCTTTTTGTCTCTCATTAACATAATTTACGTTTTGCAACGAGGATCTCACTATTTATTTATCTCTGTCATGTTCTGTTGATGACCAACTTTGTTTTACCTATCATGGTGTGTCTGGACGAAATTGCAATGTCTTTTCTTTCTTTAACTGATTTTGCATCGGATAATTTTCGGTTCAGAAACGAGATGTCTTGGATATTTAATTAATATGTGACGATGTGTCTGAATCATAATATTTTTTGTTTGTTTGTTTTTATGAATCACAGTGTGGAATATAATGTCTTATACAACTACCATGCCATGTATGCTTACTTCGACAAAACAATGACTGTTTAAAACCGCCAGGTAAATTTTCTTTAGATTATGGATTCATATTTGTGTCTCGAGTTCTTTATGCTGGTGGATAGTCTTTTTTTGTTGTCTTTGGTTCTCATGATTTATAGTCTCTAATTATCTTCGTTGTGTGTTTTCAGCAATGTATATGTTTGTGGGAGGATAGTGTTTCTGAGATGGTATAATTTGCAGGCCAACTCATCAAAAGTTGAGTACCAGCTGTGGTGGGAGCCTTGAGACTGTCAAAGACAAAAAAAACCGAAGATTCTTGAATATGTTTCTTCTGATCGCTGATAGCAGCCGTATCATGAAGACCCAAAGAGGCAATGCAGGAATACACTTTTTAATTTATTAGATATATTATGTGAGTAATGTCTTTAAAATTTTGTCAAAGTTTTAGTTTCACTTATTTTTTTTTTTGTATTGTAAATTGTATACAAACTCGGTTAGTGAAATATTGTGTTTACCAAAAAATTGGTTCTTTGATAGTTAGCATGAAAGCCCCTTTGTTAAGTTTGCATATTGATATCTTAAGTTAAGATTGGTAGATATTATTTTGTCAGCCATGTTTGTGCTGCAGATTATAGTTTGGAATTTAATTAGGACTATAATCTGCATATTTATATACAGTTTGTCAACCAATTTAATTAGTGACCGGAGTAAAATAATTATGTTGATGGTCATTATTTGGATTAACTTACTCCAAATTTTTTAAAAAAACAATAAAGATACATTTATAAAGACATAATAGTAATCATTTTTCATTTAATAAGAAATTAACTTACTCCAAATTAAAAAACAATAAAGTTTTTATCTATTTAATTTGTAACAGATAAACAAAAATAAATAAATTATTTTCTATTATATATTTACACCCTTTAATATATAAAAAAGACTTTTAATTTAACCTACAGAGGTAATTGCCATTATTTTGTTTTTATTTAACTTTTTTTATTTAATTATTTGTGTAGTAAAAGTGGTTGAAAATAACCATCTGAACAATGACAAAAAAAGATAAGTTTTTTTAGTTCTTTACACGTATTTGCTTTTGCGTGTCATTGATTTAAATATATAAAAATTGATGTTTTTCATGCTTTTACGTGTCATTGATTTTTTTTTTTTTTTTCTCGGATTGATCTTTTAACACAAGTATTGTTAAGAAAGTAGACGGTCTTGCTCTTAGGCCAAGTGTGAATTATTGCATCTTTTTGGACGAATTTCATTGTTTTTATATATTTAATTTGATTTTGGCTAGCTCTCACAAACTCCTGGTTTATGACTCTAATAATCGGATTTAAACCATAACCGTATATGTAATTAATAAATTTGTTGTTCAATTTTAGGTGTAAATCAACAAATAATGGTATTAATTTTTGTATTTATGGTAAAATTAGTTGACAAACTATATATGAAATTCCATTAATCGAGTATTAAATTATCTGAGTATTAATTTTCGTATTTATGGTATATATTTAAAATTTTACTATTCTTGTACATAGATTTATTTTGAGATTTTGTTTATTCTATCGTATATATGGTTTTCAGAAAAGTTTCTGGTTTAGATATGGATAACATCTTGATTAATATTTTTATAATATATTTAATTTAAAATAACTTAAAATAATATCATTGGTAAATATGAAAAAATGAATATTTCTTGTTTTCTATAATTGAAAATGGGAGATTTCTATATATCAATATATATTTGTACATATCTAGATGGGAAATAGGAGATTTCTATATATCTATATATTCGTACATCAAAACTCTATATTGATATACATAGATCTTTCATATTACTGATATTCCCAAAAAAATGGCAAATGTGGGATTTCTTGTGTGTATATCGTTTGTTAAAAAAAATGTTAATTAAGAAAACCCTAACCTATATTAATTATAAATATCTTTTTTCACTTGATGTATATTGTATGCACGTTTGCGCTTTTAATTATATAGGAATATGATTCTCAAACTTTATTTACATATGATTTATAATATTGGAGGATCGGCTTTTAATGTGCCATATGTCTTTTGCGATAGTCAAGGTATATACAATTGTTTATTGTTTCAATAAGTGTGTTATTTTTGTTCATGAGTATAGATCGTCTGGTTTTGTTGTCGTGTTTGTGCATTGATTGTTTTCTGTTTTATATACAGATTGGATTTGAGTGAAATGTTAATAATAGTATACAATTTATAATATAAATTTTAAAGAGTGGTATCGATTTGTTCCATTGGTTTTAAAAACAGTTAGTGGATGTATTTTTTGACGAAACTTTGGGTTTGTATGTGTTGTGGAAATTGTATGGGTGTATCGAATCTTATATATCTATTTGTGTTTTTTTATGTTTTGATTTGTAATTTTCGAATATTTAGGTACAAATTGTTCTGGTCATTCTCTTTATTCGTTCGAGATGGATAAAGTATATTGTTGTGTGCTGCCCATCGGGGAGTAGATCGTTCAAGCTGATGACGAAGAAAGCGACCTTAATGGTGGTCATGATGGTGAGTCGTCTGATGATTATGATGATGATATGGATTGTGATTTTGTGTGTGATGAGGATGAGTGTGGAGATGAAGACGACGATGAGGATTTAGAGGATCTTGATGAAGAAGTTGCAAGTGATGAGGGCTATGGTGATAAGAGTTCACATAGTTCTGATGATTCTTCTGAATTGCACTTCTATAATTTATATGTTTTCATGTATTACATTTTTGAAAATGTATTATGTTTTAAAAAATGTTAACAAAAGTTTTTACTTAAATTTATATATATATATATATATATATATTATTTTTGTCTTTAAGACACCCATCAAAAGTATCTCTATTATATGCTTTAAAAACAAAAAAATATTACAAAGTGTCTTATAAACATAAAGTACACAAACTATTAATAATTAATAAATAAGATCCACACTAGTGGTGTCTCTATTGGGCTTGCTCTAAGAAGACGAATGACAAAGACCATGAAGAAGAAAGAGAAGTACATGAGAAAACTGGAGAAGAAGAAGAAAAAAATGGAAAAGAGGAAGAAAAATAAAATTGGTGCATGAATAAGATGAAAACAAAGAGTAAGATGTTGGCAAAAATGAAAATAATAAAGAAATAGAAAGAGAAGAGGAAGAGAAATCGGAAAACAAAGAATAAGAAGAACTTAGAGGAGATTAAGATGATTAAAAAGAATTATTAAAAGATGAGGAAAAATAGATAAAATTTAAAGAAGAAGATGAAGGCAAAAAAGAAAAACATTGGAAAAGAGGAAGACAAAGGAGAATAAAGGAGAAGAAGGAAAAAATGTGATGAAGAGGTAAACAGAAAACAAGATGACAAAATCTGAAAAGAAGAAATAAAACTAGAAGATAGGGAAGCAAAAATCAAGAGAAGAAGAAGACTAAATATAAGAAAAATAAGACTAATAATAATATATATGAGATGACAAAGTAGAAGAAACTGAAGATGAGGAAGGAGACAAAGAAAACCTAGAAAAATAAGAAGACGAGGATGATTAAGAAGAAGAAGTAAAAAAAATAGGGAGAAGAAAATTCGAAGAAGAACGTGAATAAAAATGAAAGAAAGCTGAAGAAGAAGAATAAAAATACGAGAAAAAAATAAGAAGAAACAAAAGAAGAAAAATCTGAGTAAGAAGAAGAAGACAAGATTAAAAAAACTAAAGCATAAGATGCTGGAAAAGGATGGATGACGAAGAAGAATGAAAGAATAAAAAAGAAAAATCAGAAGAAGAAGAAGAAGAAAGTGGATAAGCCAAAGACGTTGAAGAAGAGAAAAAAGGAGAAGGAGAATATGATGAAGAATTTGAAAAAAAAAATCAGAAAGAAAGAAAAACAAGGATGAAGAAGACAAAGTGGAAGAAGGCTAAGAAAAAGAAGAAGAAAAAGATGAGACAAAGTAAAACAGCAAGAATAATGAGTCGAAGAAGATGATGAAGAAAAAAAGGAAGAATACCAAAAAATGGAAAAGTATGATGTAGACAAAGAGTTATAAAAATCAGAAGAAAATTAAGAAGACGAATGACGAAGACCATGAAGAAGAAAGAGAAGAACATGAGAAAATTGGAGAAGGAGAAGAAAAAACGGAAAAAGAGAAAGAAAAATAAAATTGTGCATGAACAAGGTGGAAACAAAGAGTAAGATGTTGACAAAAATGAAAATAATAAAGAAAGAGAAAGAGAAGAAGAAAAGAAATCAGAAAACAAAGAACAAGAAGAAGTCAGAGGAGATTAAGATTATTAAAAAGAATAATTGAAAGATGAGAGAAAAATTAAAAGATAAAGAAGAAGATGAAGCGAAAAAGAAGACGTTGGAAAAGATGAAGAAGAAGACGAAGACAAGGCGAATAAAGGAGAAGATGGATAAAAGGCGATGAAGAGGTAAACGGAAAAAAAAAGATGACAAAATCTGAAAAGAAGATAAAAAACCGGAAGATATGGAAGAAAAAATCTAGAGAAGAAGAAGTCTATGTACATGAAGAAGAAGATGATGAATAAAATAAAAAAGAGGCAAATACAAACTATAAGAGTCAACAGAGAACAAATTGATTTTCTTTTGCTTGTCCTTGGTTTAAAGAAAATCTTTTATATATGAGATTTTAATTTGAAGAAAATCTTTTAGAGAGAGAGAGTGAGAGAGAGTGAGAGAGAGAGGGAGGGAGGGAGGGAGGGAGGGCAAGAAAATCTTTGAGAGATAGAGAGTGAGAGAGAGAGAGAGAGAGAGAGAGAGAGAGAGAGAGAGAGAGAGAGAGAGAGAGAGAGGGGGAGGGAGGGATGGAGGGAGGGAGGGGATCTCCCTCAAAAACAAGATCGAGAAAGAGAGGGGGTAGAGAGAGAGAGAAAGAAAGGATCTCCCTAAAAAAGATCAAGAGAGAGAGAGAGGGGAGAGAGAGTGGGATAGAGAGATATAGAGAGCAAGAGGGATAAGGAAAATGATACAAAGAGAGATAAAGAGATAAAAAAAAGAAAGAGTGAGGATCTCCTTCAAAAAAAGTTAAAGATCATGTGTAATTGCTAGGGAGGACGGAAATGAGATAAGATGAGATGAATAAAACTGAAGAATAAGAAGTTCAAGAAAATGAAGAAGACTAGTGCTAAGATGGACGAGCGAGTGAGGGGGAGAGGGAAGGGAATGGGAGGATTTAGGGTTCGCACATCACATTATAAAACCTATTATTTTTGTTAAAAAAATTTAAGAGTAGAAAGTTATTTGATGAAATTTTGGTAAACATATCGTTCTAATATTTTATAGTTATCATGATTTTCAATATGCATCTCATGAAATTGATTGTTTCTGTTAAAAAATTTAGGAAAAAGGAAGGTTTGATGTTTATGGTTTGCACATTGTATTAAAAACTTATTGTTTCTGTTAAAAAAAAATAATAGTCGAAAGTTATTTGTTGAAATTTTGAGAAACATAACGTCTTAGTAGTATTGTTACCATGAGTTTCAACGTGTTGCTCACAAAAATTTGGCTATCGAGT